GGACAAATTTCAGAAGGGTCCCAAGTGCAGGAGCTTCTGTTCCCATGTCACTGGGGTGTGCCACCTTCCCAGCATGGGGATGCATTTACCAACCTGGAAGCTGATCAAATATTGCTCAGTTTTTATAGAGCTTAATCTACAGCCCCCTCCCCTTTGCTTCCCCAGAGGTTGGTGGTTAGGGCTGGAAGTTTTAATCCTCTAATCACTTAGTCTATCTCTGGTAACCAGTCCTATCTTGACTTGTAGGGGCCCCACCCCTAGTCATTTCATTAGCATAAATTCAGGTATGTTCAAAAGGAGCTCCTTATGAATGACAAAAGACACTCATATCACTCAGGGAATTCCAAGGTTTTTTGGAGCTTTGTGCCAGGAACGGGGTCAAAGACCAAATATACTTCTTATTTTATCACATCTGGGTTCCATGGAATTTCCAGATGGTTTTCAATAAGCTTGTCGATTTATGCAAAAAATGACAGCTGAGATTTTGATAGGGGAAGTACTGAATATGCAGATAAATTTGGAGGAATATTGCCAGTTTTACAATATTAATTTTTTTTTGATCCATGAACATGGAATGCCTTTCCATTTATTTAGGTGTTTTGTAAGTTCTTTCAATAATGTTCTGTAGCATTCAGAATATAAGTTTTGCACTTCTTTTTTGTAAATTTATTCCTAAGTATTTTTGATGCAATTTTAATAAATTACAATATTTTAAAAACTGATTTTAACATCTCTGAAATTTGAGATGTATTATATAATCAAGGGAGTCTTAGCATTATGCCATAGTTCAAGTGGCAGTCATTTTTTTTATCTTGGTGGAGATAAATGTAACTTACAATCAATAGCTTCTTTGATCCAATACCATATGGTATTTAAATGTGAAATGTCTATAAAACATTAAAGTGGAAATGGAAAATAGGCATTTGGATATACCAATTTAGAAATCAGAAGAGAGGGTTGAATTAGTAGACGGATGTAGGGTCATCTGAAGTTCATTATTTAAAGCCACAAGAGTGAATGAGATTCCTTCGGGGAAAGAGTATAGAGAAAATGATAGAATCCAGGTTGTAGCCCCGAGAAATGGCAAAAGAAGTTGATTAGAGGAATAAGAGCTAGAAAAGGAAACATTTTTGTTTTGAGTTTATTGTTGTCATTATTGCTATTATTGGTGTCAGTAGATGGAAGGACCTATGGGGCCAGGACCTCGCCTCTTTTAAACTCTAATGAACCTCTAAGCTAAGCACTTTACTATATTTAGATATTCACCTACATGCCACAGATAAATTGAAAGTGATTCAGAATAATCTGTTTGAGAAATATTAACTATCAACTCTTTCACTCCTGAAAATCGGACATGAATACAAATAAATAAATCTTTTAGGTCTTTAGAGAAGCATTTTAACCTGATTGTGATTTTGGTTTGAAAATAGGCATATGGGGGCAGCCCTGGTGGCGCAGCGGTTTGGCCCCGCCTGCACCCTGGGGTGTGATCCTGGAGACCTGGAATCGAGTCCCACATTGGGCTCCCTGCGTGGAGCCTGCTTCTTCCTCTGCCTGTGTCTCTGCCTCTCTCTGTGTGTGTCTGTGAATAAATAAATAAAATCTTAAAAAAAATAGGCATATGGTTACTGTATATTAACCTCGAGTAATTGTCTAAAGGTAGAAGAGAACTAGTCAATAGAAATACTGCAGCATTCACAATTAAAACCAGCAATGTGTATAAAAATCCTTCCAAGGTTTTCATATCCCAGTTGCTGTCACATTTCTATAGAATAAGTAGGACACCAGCTGGTAGTAACGCTAATTCATCCACTTTTCGTGTACTGTTCATCACTTCTCAGATGTTGAATCTTATCCATTCCTTTCTTCCCTTCATATTTCAAATGCCCTAACCAACATATAAAGTTACCATAATACCATATCCTGTAAGCATCAGTTTTTACCAGGGGAGATTTTGACCCCCAGAGGACACTTGGAAAGATATGGACACATTTTTCATTTGTGACGACTGGAGATAGCATGATATTGGCATCAAAAGGTCACAGAGCAGGGATATTGCCAAACATCCTACAATCCCTAGGACAGGCCCCCCAGAGCAACAAATTATCTAGCCCAAAGTGTCAGTGGTGCCAAGGTCGAGGAACTCTACCAATGGAGATAAATTTCTATGTATATGAACTTTCTGGGGGCAAAATCCTTAGCTTCTACCATACCTAAAAGGTGGTATAATGCAGAATTTTAAGAAACACTAGCTTAAATGGATATTTCGTCTAGGCATCGGTTAACAAGTGGCATAGTAAAATCACCTCACAGCAAAAATCCCCTCTCCAGGTAAGACTTATCTCAGCCTGCCAAATTTCTCTGTCCCTTTCCACTGCCCACTCTGATTTATGGCTAGACAAACACAGCTCTTTGGATTTCCTGTCTTTAGGTTTTCTGAGTACCTCATCCCCCTCCTGTTAGCCAGGTTAACACAGTCATTATGGTTGTGGTGACTACTGACTAACCTAGAGCTTCATGATATGTCAAAAGTTTTGCTTTCTTTAGATACCTCCAGTTCATTTGGTCAACATCCATTTAATCAGTGCCTACCATGTTTAGCACACTGCTAGGCACTGAGCATATGGTGATGAAAATGAGCTTGCAGCTCAATACTGGAGAGGTATCAATAGGATTTAAGAACGTCAATTTAAAACCGGGAGAGGGGCGGGCCCGGTGGGGTGGCGCAGCGGCTTGGCGCCGCCTGCAGCCCGGGGTGTGATCCTGGAGACCCGGGATCGAGTCCCACGTCGGGCTCCCTGCGTGGAGCCTGCTTCTCCCTCTGCCTGTGTCTCTGCCCCCTCTCTCCCTGTGTCTATGAATAAATAAATAAATAAAATCTTAAAAAAGGAGTGTTTAAAAAAATAAGAATAATAAAACGGGGAGAGACATGAAAGTAAAGATGAGAGAGGCTGGAATGAGGATAAGGAAGGACTTAACCAGATCATTGTATGCTACCCAAATGCGACGAGCTGCTGACTCCTTCCCGCTTATTTTGAACCATTCTGTCACAACTGTAACCCCCCCCCCCCCGAGGTTATATCAAACTCGCTTCTCCTGGGTACTGACAGGCGAGTGGGAGAGTGGACGCTATGGGCAGGGTGAGAACGCCAAGCACAAAGGCTTCCCTTTTCCTCGTTACTAATAAATCTAATTAGAATCCAAAGCGCGCGGTGGGGGGCGGGGCAAGGGAGAGGTGGCGTAAAGCCAGTGTCTAAAATGCCATTTCCAGATGATCCGCAGATCACAACCGCAATAGTTCTTAGTCGGGTATTGGAGGTTCGATGTCGTGGCCTGTAAATCAAGAAACACACAACAACAAAAATCAACTTAACCATTTCCCCCAATACTAGCAGGTCTGCGCTTTGGTAGTGGATGGCTGAGCCGGCCGGGGTACCCCAGCCAGCAGCACCGGGCAGCGCGGCTGGAATCTTCACCTCACTAAACCCCCCAGACTGGTAAAAATGACCGCGGTTTCCGTGGGAACCAGGCTGGGGGCCGGTGGGTGAAAGAACAAAGGTCCGCGGGGCCGGCCGGCCGCACTGGGGGCGGCGGGCGCCCCGGGCCCCACGGTCTCACGGTCTCACGGCGCCGGCGCACCTCTCCGGGCCGGTCCCCGGGCCGCGGCACTGCAGGGCGCCGGCGGGGCGGGGGGCGGGTGAGAAGGGACGCGGGGGCCGAGGCCCGCCGCCGCCCGACCGAGTGAGCTAGCGAGCGGCTTGCGAAACGCGCCGCGGGCCGTCACCCAACAGGACCGGCGTCACGCGGCTCCCCGCGCCGGCAGAAGCCGCCCAGAGAGCACGCGGCCGGGGCGGGGCGCCGGGGACACGGGGCGACGTCCCCGCAGTTCCCGTCCCGCAGGGGCCGCCGGCGCCGCCAGGCCCCGCCCCCTGCGCTTATGTAATAGGGGCGCGCTGCCATTGGCCCGTGCGACCGGAAAGGGCGGAGGCGTGCGAGCAGGGGAGGGGCGGGGGAGGCGGCCGCAGCAGGAAGGCGAGTGGGCGGCGAGCGGCGGGCGGGCGCTGGGGCGCCTGGGAGCGCTGCGCGGCGTGCGCGGGCACGAGCGTAGTGGCCTCCCCCGAGGCTGAGGCGGCGGCGGGCGCGCGCGCGGCGGCGGCGGCGGCGGCGGCGGCGGGCGCGAGGCGCGGGCTGTTGTGCTCCTCTTCCCGTCCTCGGCGGGTGGAGGCGGTCGAAGCGGTGCTGGGCGCGCTCCCCCTTCCTCTCCCTCCGGCCTCCTCCCCCGGCCCTCGCGCTGCGCGGTCTCTCCGACGCAAGACTGTCCCGGCCCGGGTGAGCGGCTGCGGGGGCGGCGCTGACGCCGCAGGACGTCGGGGGGCCGGGGTGGGGGCCTGGCGGCGGGGTCGCCGCGGGTGCGAGGGGCCGCGGGCCTCCCCCCCTTCCGGGCGGCGGGCGGCGGGCGGCGGGCGGCGGGCGGGCCGGTCCTGTGCGGGCGCGGGCGCGGGCGCGGGCCGGCGGGAGAGCTCGGCGCCTGCCAGGCCCTGCAGGTGGCGGGGTTGCAGGCCGCCCGCGGCGGCGGAGCGCAGCGCTAACCTTCCCCGTGGCGGCAGCCGCCGCTGGGCTTCTGAGCCGGGGCCGGAGCGGCCCGGCCGGGTTTCGGGCAGCCCACGCCTGGGAGGCGCGTCTCGGGCCGGGGTCTGTGAGAAGCGGCGGGCAGGTGGGGCTGCGAGGCGGCCTGAGGAAGGGGGAGCGCGGGGCTCCCGCCTGGGAGAGGCGGGCTGGGCGGGGGCCGAGGTGGACCTTACTCCTGTGCTTCCCCCTTCCCTCCCCCGACAGGATGGGGCTAAGAGCTGGGGTCGGAACGTCGGTCAGTGCCGGGCCTCTTCGTTTCAGATGGTTGCGGACAATGATCCTACTTCCCGGATCCCAAAATTTTCCTTGCTCGTTTGTTTTGGTTTTAAGGGGATCTTTTTTTTGGGGGGGGGGCATTGCTTACTTGTCTTCATTCTAGAAAGAACTCTCCGCAGCGTCCTGGGAAAACCGCACTAGATGAGAGTCCCATTAACAACCTGCGTTTAAGGTGTCATGCGGCCCTCAGCTTGTCCTGTGCGATCAAGGAGTTGAGCTTAAGATTTCGTGCGAAATTCGATGGGCTTGAGAGCAGCTCCTAAGCTGAGCTGCCCAAAAGCAGGTGGCTCGCTCGTTCGTTTGCATTTCTGCTTTCAGAAAGGAAATCAATGCAGTGAGTTGTTAGAAGTTAGGGGCCCACCCCACGCATTTAGACTGTTGATTCCACTTCCTTTACCGGGTGCTAAGATTTCTGTTTTAAAAATGAGAATAAGCAATTACAGTCTCTACTTATTAAAGCTTTTATGGTTTTATTTGTTACTGTTAGATGAAAATGGGTTAAATCTATCGTGTAATGTTACATTTTAGGAGAAGCGCTAAACGGAAAAGTTAAAAATAATGTGCATCTCATTGCATTGTACAGATCACTGCATGAAAATAGTTAATAACTTGTGATTACCAAAGAAACTTCTGGAATTGGTGGCTTAAATCAATTGAGGTTACCCACAGAATCTGTGTTAGCATTCGTAGCAGACATTCTGTAGAAGAGTTCAGATGCATGAGAGGACTGAAGTGTTCTAACATAAGGTACTGATAAAAGATGTTATAGAAAATGGGGATACATAAAGACTGAATACCTATTATCATCCAAATCATACTTAAGTGTCCAAATCTGTTTCTGTGGGAATAGGTTCCATATGCTTGCCATAGCATTTGTACTTCATATACATTTTTTAGAAAATCATCCCACTTGGCTTGGGATTAATAAAAGATTTGGCTTTATGAAAACTAAAATGGAAGTTTTTAGTTTTCAAGGGCTAACACATCTGGTAATATTTACTATTATTTGAGAATATACTAAACTAGCATACTAAAAATTTTTATAGTTTGTTAAAATATTCAACTGAGTCTTTAAAAAAAAAGCATCGATCCTCTTCTGTGTTTTATTTGACTTTCAGTCCCGAGCTAAATACTAGTGGGAATTTGTCCAAGCAGTGTATTTGTTTCTTCAGCTGCCCCTTTTTTGGGGAAGAAGCTTGTGTGTTTCTATGAAATGCTTTGACTTTATATCCATTAACTAGTTAGGTTTCCAGTCAGAAAAAAAGCCAGCCCTGTTTGCTGGTAAAGATGATCTAGATCCATATTGTGTTCATATCCTACAATGATTTAAAAGCTTAAAGCTTAATTGCAGTGCTAGTCAAAGTCCTACATCAGAATTCTACTTAGGACCCAATTTCAATATACTTAAAAAGCAACTGGGGCCTATTAGACCCTTTATGAGCAGATTTAACTTGTGTTGTCTAATAGAGGACTTTAATTTTTTTTTTAAATTCCAGTATAGGTAATATACAGTGTTACATTAGTTTCAGGTGTACAATATAGCAATTCAACAATTCTATACACACAGTGCTCTTCATGATTAAGTGTACTCTTTAATCCCTATCACCTATTTCACTATGCCCCATGCACCTCTTCTCTGGGAACCATCAGTTCTCTATAGTTAAGAGTCTGTTTCTTGGTTTGAGATAACTAATTTTTTTTTTTTTAGGATTTTATTTGTTTATTCATGAGAGACACACAGCGGGGGGGGGGGGGGTGGGCAGACACACAGGCAGAGGGAGAAGCAGGCTCCATGCAACGGGAGCCCGATGCGGGACTCAATCCCCAGGACTCCAGAATCACGCCCTGGGCCAAAGGCAGGTGCTAAACCACTGAGCCACCCAGGGATCCCCGAGAAAACTAATTTTAATGAAAAAGTAACTTTTTTTTTTCAGTAACTTATTTTTTATCCATCTAGCTTCATTTCAGACTATCAGTAAAAGGTGGTGCATTTCAGTTTTGTAAAGGCATCTTTACCCTTTTTACAAGGTTCATTCTCTCAACTGGAAACTAATTTAGTCTTATTTAATTATTTCTCCAGCAATCCTGCAGGGACTAATTTTTTTGAAAGGTTTAAGATAGTACAGTAGTTTTATGGAACCTGAGTATTTAACTGTTCCCATTGCTCTTAGTATCTCCTTTAGAAGCTTTAGATGACAGCCCTTATTTCTTTTAAAGTAAAAATCTTTTTTTTTGGTAGTTTTATGGCTTTATTAACACAAATATGACATACACATAAACGGTCTATTCATTTTCTTCGCTGCTGCAGCCTGGTATTGGGATTGGTGACTCTGATGGCCGACTGGGCTGCTCTTTCCACAATGGCTTTGCTTTCTTGGAGAATACATTGTGAGCAATCTCTGCACAATATGATTTGTTGTTGCACATCAGCAGCGCTTAAAGCTCCTTGACCTTGTGGACTAGAAACTTCCGGAAGCCACTGGGCAGCATGTGCTTTGTTTTCTTGTTGCTCCCATAACCAATGTTGGGCATCAAGATCTGGCCCTTGAATCTTCTGCGTACTCTATTGTCAATGCCTCTGGGTTTCCGCCAGTTGTGCTTAATTTTGACATATCGGTCTGACTGGTGCCGGATGAACTTCTTGGTCCTCTTTTTAATGATTTTGGGCTTCACCAGAGGTCTCAGGGCAGCCATTATGCCCAGTAATAGATGGCTGCTATCTCTTAAAGTTGTAAAAATCTTAATTCACCACAGTGAATACTGGAAAGTAAAGTGCTCCAGCAAATGCTTGGGAAATGGCACTAAAATTTTCTGGTAAATTTTTAAAGATTACATATAGCAGAGTGCACAAATCTTAGATGTAAAGCTCAATGAATTTTTACAAATGAACACACCCGTATGACCACTACCCAGATGAAGATACAGAACCAATCACCACCCTTAAATTCCCCCTCATGCCTTTTTTTTTTTCCTCCCCTAGTCACTACCTCCTACCTTAGCTTTGCCTATTTTGAACTTTATACAACCTATATACTTTGTATCTGGCTTCTTTCCCTTAACACTGGATACAACCATGTTGTTACTTGTAACAATAGTTTCTTTTGGATGTAGCATAATATTCTATTGTATAAATATATGGCAAGTTATGTATCCATTTTACCAGTAACTGGCATTTGGATTGTTTCTAGTTTTAGAAATGATGCTCTGAACTTTTTTTGTACTGTGTGTGTGTGTGTGTGTGTGTGTGTGTAGATTTGTATTTCAGTTAGTTATATTCTGAGATTGTTAGGTTATAGAATAGACTACTACCAGTTTCCCACAGTGGTTGTACTAATTTATTCTCTAGTAGCATTGTATGTGAGAATTTGAAAACTCATACATTTTGATACCTATATAAAACTTAGGTCTCCAACTCTGAGAATGTTATTCTGTATTAATCACTGTAATGCCTCAACTTCTGTTTTTAGATATGGCTCGTGGACAGCAGAAGATTCAATCTCAGCAGAAAAATGCCAAAAAGCAAGCTGGACAAAAGAAGAAACAAGGACATGACCAAAAGGCTGCTGCCAAAGCTGCCTTAATATATACCTGCACTGTTTGTAGGGTAAGGGGAATTGAAAGACATAGTTTTCCTGTGGACAATTCTTTCCTTGGACGTTTGTTTATATAGGTTAAAATTTTGCAACTAAGGCAAAATAAACAGTAGATTGGAGAGCTGGTTATTTTAAGTGTCCGTCTTCAGTTGTCTATTTAACAGATAATTTTTTGAATGGCTCCTATGGGCAGGCACAGTTCTCTTTGTGTCAGGGAAAGGGAGAGAACAAAGCAAAGTCCCTTTCCCTCGTTTAGAATAAAGATGTCTTCAGGGCAGATACTGCCTTTTGAACTTTGTAAGGAAATCAGATCTTCATTCTTAGTTTAAACTATGTAGGATACAAGTGAATATATCTCTGATTATAGAGTTGACTTCTTTTCCCCCCACTAAATTCATAGTGAGGATGTCTGCAAAACTATATGGAATATATTTACATTGACTAGAACTAATGTGTTTTAATAGATTTGAAGAATAATCATAACAACTACTATTCAGTGCTTATCAAGTGTTTTATATGTATCAGTCCGCTAATCCACCATATGAAATAAAGGACTTTTATTCTCATTTTGCAGAAGAGTAAACTGAGTCATGGGGATTAAATAACTTGTGCATGATCACCCAGCTAGTGCAAAGAGCTGGGTTCTGAACCCAGGCAGTCTAATTCTGGAGCCCACTTGTATACACACTGCCTTTCAAAGAAGTTTCTCCTAGACTCCAAGCCAGAATCTCTTTCTTGCTTTTTTGTTCAAGCTTAGCAGAAGCCCCAAAGGAAAAGTACATAGTAAAATTTGTCCAATATATATGCATATATATACCATATGTATAAATGTGTTTTTTTTTCCCCCGAAGTCCTGCACCTGGGTAAGGTTGTGGGAAAGGATCTTGGCAAGACATGATTCTGAGACTAAAGTTCATCATCTGAAGACATTACTGATGGAATAGCAGTTCTTAGCTATGTAAAAGTTCTCTTTAAAAGAGGAAATCCATGAAATACCTTGTCTATACTGAACATTTGATACACTCAAAATAATGAAATCAAGCAACTTTAGACTTGTAAAGACAACTTTCCAACTTGTCTTTGTAAAGAGGAAGGGTAAAAGTAAATTTCATTAAATTACTAATGAGTAAATACTTTGATCTAAAAGTACTTAGAGTGGTTCACCTATTTAAAAACTCAGAACTGGGGCAGCTCGGGTAGCTCAGCAGTTTAGCGCCACCTTCGGCCCAGGTTGTGATCCTGGAGACCTGGGATCCAGTCCCACATTGGGCTCCCTGCATGGAGCCTACTTCTCCCTCTGCCTGTGTCTCTGCCTTTCTCTCTCGCTCTGTGTCTCTCGTGAATGAATAAATAAATAAATCTTTTAAAAAAATAAATAAAAACTCAGAACTGGGACTCCTGGGTGGCTCCGCGGTTTAGAGCCTGCCTTTGGCCTAGGGATCCAGTCCCACATCGGGCTCCCTGCGTGGAGCCTGCTTCTCCCTCTGCCTGTGTCTCTGCCCGCCACCACCCCCCGCCCCGCCATGTCTCTCATGAATAAATATTTTTTAAAAAATAAAATAAAAACTCAGAACAAAACAGCAAAAGCTTTCATTTTGTGTTTTGGTTTAATCAAATGGGCTAAAGACTAAATAATTTGAAGGTCGCTGCATAGGGCAGTTGGTATAGTGTAGCATTTGAGAACTGAAGTACTAGTACTAAGTTAAAACATCTTGCACAAGTTACAGTCTAGGTTTTAGTTTCTTTATCATGCGAAATGAGGAAGGATAGTAGGAACTAATTTAAGATTACTATAGGAAGGTTCTGTGAGAATTCAGGTAACCTGCTTGGCATAATGTGTTAAGTAAATGTATCTGTTTGCTGTTAAACAGAATGCCTCATTCTTAGTGACCCACCCTTTGTTCATGTGTGAAATTTGGTGATATATTAGGAATTTCTTTGTTACAAGGTCCTTTTTTATGTCCGCCACTAGTTACAGGAACTTAAAAGTGTTTTGGAGATAATTGTCTATCATGAGCAGACTCAGGATTTGAAAAGTTAACATTTTTATTTCATGAATAAGGTTTCTTTTTTCCACAATTTTTTAATTAGACACAAATGCCAGACCCGAAGACCTTCAAGCAGCACTTTGAAAGCAAGCATCCTAAGACTCCACTTCCTCCAGAATTGGCTGATGTTCAGGCATAAAGTTGTTTACAGGTAGTTGACCTTTTGTCTTTTCATTTGTTAATGTCAAGGTTGTAAGCAAGAGCAAAATGATCTTCTGTAACTGAAAATAATGTGTACCTTCCAGCTGAGTTTTTATTGCTTCCCCGTGTTAAGTTCATGTTTACCTTTACAATTGATAAAAGCCCATTTTCCCAAACCAGATCTTCTCAATGCCTTTGAAACACCCAAGTATTTTACTACTGTAGCCCAAAATGGGGGGATGAGGTGATGCTGACCAACTCTGGTCCAAGAATGGAAGAGACTTACCAGCTAAAAGAAAATAACTATTACAAAGGCATTTGAGGGTCTTGCTCCCAGAAACGATGCAGAACAATGTTCCTGAGTGCTTTGTTGCAGGTATTTCACTTCCAGTGTCTAACAGAGCTTCTGAGTGCATTGAGGTATATGGCAAATGTAGGCGTATACTATATAAACTTGATAGTTGCTTGAAAATAATTTGTTTACACTTTCTGTGTGGTTGGTTTTTGTTTTTTATTTTCCCTAAGTGGTGATGGTGGTGTGAGATAATTTTTTCTTTTTAAAGTAAATTCATCGAAGATTTGTTTATAAAATCTTTGACAAATCCATCAGACTAACTTGATAGCCTATGCATGTGGTGCGTTTTTCTTAGACATTTGAAATGCATTTAAGTTGTATTTGTGCAATGCTTACATTCACTGAAAATTTCATTTATGTTTTATAGGTGAATTCATGACACCTTTGACTCTTCTACTGTCTCAGACCTTAGGTAACAAACCTGCAGCTGCTTTTCTAACAAACTGTTGATCAGCAAAAATAAAGGGGCTACAGAAACACTCATTTTTATGCTGTTCCCTTTTGGGCTTCATGCAAAGACAATTCTGTGTAAATGTACAGTTGACTCTGATTTGGAAATCTGAAAATCAGTCCATCCTTGTTATAAAAATTTTTTTACAATTGTAATTATATTGATGTTCATATTGTGTAAAATAACTCATTTAATAAAGTAGTACTTTGATTTTACAACATCACAGGATAAATGGTTCTAGAAATTCTGTTCTAACTTTCCACATTATTTGCCTTATGAAAATCTAATGAATTCGTCAGCTAGAATTGCAAGCGCAATTCTTAATCTCCCTCTCTCAGCTCAGTGGCAGGTTCATTAGTTAAGCTAGAACAGACTCATTCATACAGTTTTATTGGCAGCTGTTGCCCTAGGTGAAAAATGACTTACTTGCTGCCTTAGTGTATTAACATCATGTGTCATTTCCCCCTCTGATGTTTCTGTTTGAGGTTGGAATATTTCAACTTGCTATATGACCTGGCCGTAGCTGCCAGCCAGGTATACCCTGTAGATAACTGATAAATTCCTAATGTGGTTGGATTTTCAGTGAGCCCTTCTGAAAGATTAAGTTCTGAAGTATATGCCATAACAAAATCATCAGTAAGGCTGCCATTGAATACAAAATATGATGGATCATATGTGAACTGGTAAAGATCTATCTTATATAAGTTATACCAGATTCTTTCAGAATCCAAGTTCATTAATTGGCAATTAAAACTCAATTTTTGAAGGAGTTTTTGGAAGTTATTAATGTTTTGGCCAATTTTATGAATGGTTTTTCATTAACAGGAAGATTGGAATGGCTTGTCGCTGGGTTAATTCCCCAAAACCTTCTCCCTCCTTTCCTTTGTAAATGAATAGTTGATTTTAGGAGTTTACTTTGTGCTGGTTCCTAAAATCAAAGACTGTGTACAATATGACTTCTGTCTGAACTAGTAAAGGATTAAAATAGGCCAATCTCCACATTCTTTTAGCTCTGAGGATGGGGAAATGGGCTGGTTCAGATGGATGAGGTAAATCCCTCACAGTTAAGACAATTTTAGGGTTCTTCTAATTTGCTCTTGTCAACTATTAACTTTACTAGTGTAACTGCTGTAACTGTTTAAATTTTAAAGTTAATATAATAGGGAGAACACTCAACTATTTGCTGGTAATTGCTTAGAGCCACAAATCTGATCCTGTGGATTTACAAAATGCATTCCCTCTTTCTGCTGTAATTTATCACTGCATTTGTTTTGTAGCTGTGCAGATTCTGCCCACCTTGTTTGACTTCACTGTAAGTTTAAGATATTGACAAGGAAAAGCTTCTTCAGTGGTGATAGTTTCTTAGCGACTTCTATTGCATTCTTAATTTAGTCTTTTTTTTTTTCATGTATTTAATTTCCTAAGTTTCAGATTTAATATCTGTTACTTCCTAATATGTTGGGTACCAGAACATAAGAATTTGCCTGATTGCTTGTGGTGGGTATTATTGAAGTTCTGGTTAAATTACAATTTAAAGGTTTTTAAAAATGCTTTGACCATATGTATGTTTACATTTAGTAACAAATCATTTAAAAATCATTCACAAGTTTTGGTTTTTTTTTTTTTTTTCATTTGTTTTACTGACTGTAATTCAGAATAAAAGCTTTTTGTTCTTGTATTTAACCCTTTTTTATAAGCAGCTGAAGACACCATATTTAATGTTATATCTCAGCGATAGGAAAATAGCTGCATTGGTCTTGCATAAGACATTAATTCTCATGCTTTGTGTAAGGATAATTAGTACAATCCCTTTCTATTATGTTTGAGTTAAATTTGCTCTAAGGGGAAAACTATAATTCTTAAACATCCTCATTATTTAATTTGAAGATTCTTTAACAGATCACAGCAAAGTTCATCATAAAACTGTTATGGTGTCTTCAAAGACTTTATAAAATCTGAGACACTGAGAGGGAATTGGTCCGTTGTATTCTGTGTTTCCATTAATTGCCAAAAGGAATGGGGTTAAGATTATATTTGTTTCCATTTTACTTCCTATGGATCTGCATCCCCATGTTTAACTGACACACTTGGGGCTCAGTTGTGTGCTGTAATGTCTTATTAAAGAAGATATTAAAACTAAACTAGTCTAATTTCTTCTACATTTAAGGAGATTTTTACATTGCCTCTTCCCATTTTTTTTTTTTTAATTTCTCAGAGTTGTCTCTTGAGTGTAGAGGTGTAGAGTTCAGTCATTCTAAGGGCAGCAAGAAATTTCTTTCATTTCTCATTGTTTTTCCTGCAGTTGGTCTATTTTAGGTGTATAGAATACTTAAGAGTGAAAGGAAAAAGGTTGTCATTCTGAAACCTTCCTGCACAGGAAAAGTGTAGTTATTGAAAGGGAGAAGTAATTGGCTATTAATATACAAGTAATATTAAAAGGAAAAATGCTTAGGTCAGTAAATTGAATGAGTAAGTCCTTTATGACGTTGACTCCCAATTTGAGATAAGACTGGTTTTATATTAAGGCTACTGCACAGCTAGTTAATGACATCATAATTCAAACCCAAGAAGTATGTAGCGTGAGTACAGTAGAATTTACCAACATTACTATTTTAGCAAAAAGACCCTTGTTTTTTATTTTTATTAGTATATGGAATATACTGCATCTGTTTTAAAATGTAGTTATATCAAGGTAAACTACTGAATCTGAATTACTTTATTTGTTCTAGATTTTTAATTTTGGAGGAGTTTTTGGTTTGGTTTGATTTTGGCCAGACACGTACTTTTTCAAGTGCCTAGAAATGAAGTTCAACAGTGGGGGGTTGTGTTTACTGTGACTTTACAGTCTGACATCTTTCCGGCTAGCCAAATTTTATCTCCTATAAATGTTTCAGAAAAATCTTAAGCCTTTCCCTTTGTGTAGACTTACTAAGATATCTATATACTTTTTGAGAAAAATAGATGTTTTATTAATAAAAGTTCAATGTGTCATTAATTGCAGATTACTATATTGAACTGAAAATTAAATATCCATTTATTTATTTATTTGAGAAAGTGCACAAGGTAGGGGGTAGCAGGAGGGGCAGAGACATAGGATTTTAAGCCGGCTCCACACCCAGTGCAGAACCCGAAGCTGGGCCCCATCTCACAGCCCTGAGATCAGGACCTGAGCTGAAATCAGGAGTCAGATGCTTAACCGACTAAACCACTCAGACACCCAAAAATGTCTCCTATTTTAAATGTTCTTTGGGTTAGCTGTTTACTGAGTTACCATCTTTTTGGAGCTTTTTGTTTATTTTTTTATTTTTATTTTTTAAATATTTTATTTATTCATGAGAGACACAGAGACAGAAACAGGCAGAGGGAGAAGCAGGCTCCATGCAGGGAGCCTGATGTGGGACTCGATCCTAGGTCTCCAGGATCATGCCCTGGACTGAAGGCAGCACTAAACCACTGAGCCATCCTTTTTATTTTGAACAGCCATTCTCTAGGTCCAATTTTTTGTACATAGCATGGCTCCAAATTTAAAATCTGCACATATGGAGCCAGACTTTAGTTATTTGTTTATATCCATACAAGCAGATCTACAATGTGAACTAATTATGTTAAAATCATACTACTTTCTAATCATTTTTTATGTATACACCATTATTGTTTCTATACATATCATTAATAGCTTGGGCTTTTTTTAGATCAAATAAGTACCTCACTTTATCACTGTCTTCTGTCTTGTAAAGTTCTGAATGTGACTTGCCTTTTGGATTCTATATTATTAAAATTTTAATTAGTAGGAAGTAGGCCAACATAATGTTTCCTCTATAACAATGTAACAGTGTTTTTCAAAATTAGGTCTGTAGTTATGGTGACCATACATCCTGGTTTGCCAAAGACAGTCTTGGTTAAAATATTAATTTAGTATTAAATATCAGACTTATACTAGATATTAAGGTGTTTCGTTATGTCTTTTTTTTTAAAGATTTTATTTATTTATTCATGAGAGGCATAGAGAGAGAGAGAGAGAGGCAGAGACACAGGCAGAGGGAGAAGCAGAATCCATGCAAGGAGCCTGACATGAGACTCGATCCTGGCTCTCCAGGATCATGCCCTGGGCCAAAGGTGGTGCTAAACCGCAGGGCCACCGGGGCTGCCCTGTTTCATTATAAATCTTAATATTGCCTCCTTCTACTCACACGTGTCAACCAGTTCATAGGTCACTTTTGTCAAACAACTGAGATGCTTTTTTAAAATGTACATTTTTTAAAAAATCTTATGGTACCCAGAAATTCTTTTTCTTTTTTTAAAGATTTTATTTATTTATTCATGAGAAACACAGAGGCAGAGACACAGGCAGAGGGAGAAGCAGGCTCCATGCAGAGAGCCTGATGTGGGACTCGATATTGGGATTCCGGGATCACACCCTGAGCTGAAGGCAGATGCTCAACCGCTGAGCCACCCAGGCGTCCCGGTACCCAGAAATTCTTATTCCTAAATGGGAACATGTGATACTGGCAAGGTTTGTCTTTTGTAAAGGCCTTCCATCTATTTTTATTTAAGTTTTTTTTTTTTTTAATCCTACTGAGACTTAAATATCTGGTCAGATGAACTAGATTCCAAAACCTTGAAATGCCTTTATTCACAGGAATTCATATAAACTTAATATTGTTTGTACTGAGTTCAGACTTTTATTTCCTGATCATCTCTTCTCCCAAAGGACTTATAGGAAATATCCAGTTGAGATTAGAGGTGCTGCTACTTAGTACAGAGCACTTACTGAGGAAGGGAGGGAGATCTGTCCCCTGGCTGCAGGTTAGTCCTCTGGGCAGAAAGCAGTAAACACTTTAGGGAAATCTTGAGATTTTGATACATGATGCTTCTACGTGTTTTTTGATCTGGATCTCTGCAGTTTTTTTTTTTTTATAAACTCTTTGTTTTGTTCTTAAAGATTTTATTCATTTATTTTGAGAGAGACAAGGAGAGGGGCGAGAGAGGGAGAAGACCACATCCCACTGAGCAGGACCCTGAGATCATGACCTGAGCTGAAGGCAGATGCTTAACCACCTGAGACACCTAGGCACCCCTAAACTCTTAAATTTATAGTACTTCTGGATTTACAGAGAAGTTATAAAAGGTGTGGTGTAAGATTAAGTTTACCCTACTGTTAAAATCTTACTGTGGTGTTTATCACCACTAAGAAGCCAGCAGTGGTACGTTACCATTTATATT